GAATCAGGTCATGGGTGTCCACCGTGAAGTAATGCATTAGCGGTTCCGCGGTGGACAATACCCGTTAACGACCAGGGGCTATAGTCAGGTTTTAGGTCGGTACCCCGTCCGATAGTCCTTCGGGATACTACGGGCGGGAATCCACCACGAAGCCTCCTGGCCCTCCCTCAAGGGTCAGGACGCAAAGTTTGGTTTAGGCAAATTTCCTGACTTAAAAAAAAAAAAAAAAAGAAGCCCACCTGAAGGGACCCGTGGCCCTCTCCTCACTCTAGGCCCCCCCGGTTGCGACCTCCCTCCACCCCGTTAGGAGTCAGAGTTCACTCGCAACCAGGGGGGCCCTCCTTCCTGGAGGATGTGGGGGGGGGGGAAGTGCGCCTAGGCGCCTTCGTGTCCTCCCCGACACCCTCATCCGGCGTCGAAAGACGTCGGTGTTTTTTGGGCACCCCTTCCCCGATCCCCGCCGCCGCCCGCGGCCGCAGACCTAGCCGCGACCACCGACAACGGGGAAAGGAAACGAGCGCCCTCGTCTCTAGACCCCGCCGGAGGTGCCATCAGGCATCCCGGCTCCCCAAGCCTGTGTCGGTGCCTGGCTGGCCGGAGGAAGTCCACACAGAGTGGACACCTCGGGCCAGACAGGCACCCTGCCGCCTTGTGGCCAGGGGAGTCGCAGCGATAGGTGCGGCTACCCCTGTCCACCGCCGAGGTGCACCGGCGCCATGTATGTCCCACATACAGGCACCGGTAGCACTTCGGCGCTCACATCACGTTGGCGACAGTTGTTCTGTCGCCAACTCCTCCCCTGCCACTACCACTGACAATCTCTCTTCTCCCCGTCTCTCTCCTGCTCCTCCCTCCTTTGCTCCCCCCTCTCACCACTCTCGCCCACTCCCCGGTGGTGGTGGTCTTGATCCCCACACCCCCCCTTTATTCGGAGCCTCCCGAGCCACCTCCGCCCGAACGGCCTCCACCTCCCTGAGGCACCTTTCCACCAACTCCAGCCGGTCCGAGTTGGCTGCCAGCCTCGAGGACATGTCCTCGAGCCTGGCCTCCAACCCCCCCGGCAAAGAAGCCGCCGTGGTAGGCGCCCCCAGATCTTCCCTCGTCTCGGTCCCCTGATCCCGGAACTCCTTTTCGGGTTCAGGGGACAAGTCGGCCCTCCTGCCGATCTTCTCACCGAATCGGACGCATTCGCGACGTGTCAGGTCTGAGACCATCCACGTGTGCTCCTGCGCCCGACTCCGCACAAACTCAGCGAATCTCTTGGCTTCCTCCATCACCATCGCTGGGTTCGACGTCTCTTTCTTCAGTTCTAGACCGAGATTTTCTAAAAAGTTCTCGGTCCCCTCCCACACATTGTCCAGATCTTTGATAGACTTGTGAAAGAGCTCCGCGGTGGGGGTTTCGGCGCCAGCCTTATCCCACCACGGAGCAAGGTTCTCCCATCTGAGACCCGGTAGCATTGCCGCCGGCCTCCCGACGTCCGAAGCCTGTGACTCCATCTCCATTGGAGTCACAGTCTTCCCCTCTCTCTCCACACACCCGTCGTCAGATGACGACGGAGCGGGGGCCGGGATGACACCCCCCCTCTCCGCCGTGCCCTGGGGCATCCGACTCCCCTGGGCCGGTAAGAGTATTCTTCCTCTTACTTTTCCCCATGTTGGTTTTTTTGGTCTTTTTTTACTTGGTGACCGTCCAAGGGTGGCGGGCCGAAGCCCTATGGCCCCACCAGGCCAGATGTACCTCCACAGGAGGTACGAACCACTCTTAGCACCCCTTGCAAGGCTATTCCCTTGCGAGGGGTGAGTCCCCCCACCACAACAAGGTGGTGGTTCACGGGGGGGAGGGAGCCAGGCCTTCACCCCCCCCTCCCCACGCCGGTTCCTAGAATCCGACTCCAGGACGTCTGTTTCCTTCCTGTTGTCCATTCCCATCTGTAACAAGAAATGGTTTTTTTTCTGTCGGGGGTTTTCCTTTCCCTTAAGAGGTTGCCTTACACAGCTAACGAGGCCCCCTCCCAGGGTGTTAAGTCAGTGTTTTCCTTCACCTAGTGCAGTGAACAAGTCCTTTGGGGGTCTGCACCACCCATCACACAGTCATTCATCCTTCTCACGCACTCCAGCTCGGGTACCTCGGGATTGCGACACCCGTACACTACGGGGATGAGTCCGTAGTGCTCCTGAGGGGATTTATGAATAATTTATTTATCATCTTTTATATCTTTTTTTTGTGACGCTGGGGAAACTGTCATGGTACCACGCACCTCCGGGTAGAGGTGCGAGTTATGTGGGACTCCTTGTTCCCCTTGAACGAGTGGTTCGACCAAGGGGCCCAAGACCTACCGCACTAAAACCCCAGTGAGTGTCCTTCCTTGGGAATAGGGGACGGCGAGGATGCTGGTATCCCATGCCGTCTCGCCGCCCCCCCGCCAAGCCGTATCCGGGGAGCTGTCTCGACCTTGCGGCCGAGACCTTTCCCCGACCGCACAGTCGATGACTGTGCGGTTCCACCACGGTTGCGGCGCAGGACGACACCGACCCCACGCAGCGCTCTTTCAAAAAGTTTGGCGGGCGGGGCCATGGCTCGAGAACTCCCGCTTGAACCATCGCCCCCCGCCTCCAGAGTGGTGCTCCCTCCCCTTCCCAAAAAGAATAAGGATTCGGCAGTCACCCTGGAGGCCCTCACCAGGGAGACCCTTCCCTGAAGGGGAAGGGGACCCTCCACGGCGTTGATGCCCTCCCACCGGTGCCTATCGGCTCCCGGTGAGAGGGCCCTCCTGCTGCATCTACATCCTAATAGAGAGAGATCGCAACCCGCAAGGACGAGCGATGCACGCCCCCGCGGGCGAGCGATCTCCCTTCTCGGCCCCCCCAGCCGCGACCGTCTCACTCCTTTGTAAGCAGGATTCGGTCAGGGCCGGCGGGATTGCCCGGATGGGGGAGCGCGCGCAGTGATCCGCTAAGCGGGGCCAGCGCGCCCACTCCTCCCTATTCTTTAAGAGATTTTTGGGAGAAGCGGGACTTAGGCGACCTCATCCCGCGTCTATTTCAGACGCGGATATGTGCGGGGCGAACCCTCCTCGATCCCCGCCACCACAAACGAGCAAGCTCGCCGAGGGCGAGGAAAGAGAGAATCCGCCCCCTGTTCCCCTCCTCCTTGGCTATTCGTCTCCTCTTGGGGGCGCGTCCCCCCTGATCCCTGACACCGCCAACCTGCGAGCCCGCCGGTGCCGGGGAGGGGAGGACCCGTCCCCACTCTCTCCCTCCGTTATCTCTGCACTTCTCCTTCTATTGGGGGCGTGTCCCCCTCGATTCCCGCCATCACAGACGAGCAAGCTCGCCGATGGCAAGAAAAGAAAGGGCCCGCCCCCGTCCTCCGTCTCTTCTCTCTCTTCTCCTTCCTCTTCTCCTTCTGAGGACCGGGAGTTATTTCTCCCGGCTCTCTCCCTCTCTCTCTCCGCTTCCTCGCAGAAGGAGGAAAAAGCTTCCCATCTCTCCTTTGCCCCGACCATCGCCGAAACAACCATTGGCAGCGACAGGTCATGCCCCACTGCAGCCACCAGGTCAGCCCTTTTGCCCACCCACGCGGGACAGTCCGCGAGGATGTGCTGGGCGTCATCCCTTGGATGGCCGCAGTGGTGGCAGACTGTCGACCTTTCCCTCCCTATACGACCCAGATACTCACCAAAGCATCCGTGTCCGGTGAGCATCTGGGTCATCCTATATGTGACACTCCCATGTTCCTTGCTGAGCCACTGGTCCAAACAGGGAAGGACAGCCTCGACGGTCCTGCGGCCTGGCAGCCTCGGGTCTCGGAGGCGACCAGTCCATCTCTCTACCAGGGCCCGCCGCTGTTGAACTTTTATAACACAACGAGTACGGTCCGTTATGGCGATCCCCGCCGTTTGCAGCCCGCGTGTACGCTTATACATATACTTCGGCGTACATGCGGGCTAGCAAATCTACAGAGGGTACTCCGGAGAGCACCCCCACTGCCACACCGCTTACCGTACGGTAGCCCCGGCATATCCTGCACGCCACCCGCCTCTGGACTCGAAGGATCAAGTCCCTCAGTTTGCGGGTGGCGCACACCTTCTCCGCCCATACCGGGGCCCCGTACAGCAACATCGAATGGACCGTACTCGCATATAGTCGACGAACACTCCCGCCCGGTCCCCCAAGGTTTGGGAGTAGGCGACACAGCGCCATTGCTGTTCTCTCCATCTTCGGCATCAGTTGGCGGAAGTGCTCGCCAAAAGTCCAACGGCTGTCCAGGTGGAGACCAAGTACTTGATATGGGTCCCCACCTTATGAGGGTGCCTTCCACCCTTATATATGACTCACCTGGCGCCCCATGTCTTCCCCTATGAAAGAAGAGGGCCTCTGTTTTATGGGGCGCCAACCTGAGTCCCAGGATCTTTATCACTCTTGTGATCCTCGCTACCGCAAGATTGGCTCGACCAACACATTTCCCCCAGTTTCTTCCCCCGGCCATGATCAGCGTGTCATCAGCGTAACACACTGTTGAGCAGCCGGGGAGGAGGGCAGACCTGAGAATCCTGTCGTACGCTAAATTCCACATTAAAGGGCCCAAAACTGACCCCTGTGGAACCCCGCACGACATTCCCCTCTGCTTCTCCTCGGCGTTTCCATCCGTGTATGTTATGCACCTATCTCTACAGCGGCCTCCGCGACCGAGCGCACGCGCAGGATCGCATCTACTGTCGATCGCCCGGCGCGGAAGCCGTATTGATCCGGACTCAGATCGGGACCCTCCCAGGACAGGTGATGGACGAGGCGGTCCGCAACTATTCTTTCGAAGATCTTCCCCGCCTCGTCCAACAAACAGATTGGTCTAAACGCCGAGGGCGAAGTTTTTGATTTGCTCTCCTTTGGAAAAAGCACCAAGTGTGCTCTCTTCCATTCTGGGGAGATTTTCCTCTCCTTGAAGCATGCCGAGTACTGCCTTAACATTACGTCGGCCAAGTCCTTGTGCGCTAGAGCTCACGCCCTACCGTGAAAACCGTCCGGACCAGGAGCTTTTCCTTTTTTAATTTTTCGGACGGCCCTCTGCAGCTCTCCCGCTGTGAGCCCCATCATCGCCTCGTCCCACTCCTGCTTCCTCTGCAGGATCGGATCTTCTTCCAAATCCCGCATCGGGAACAGGGTGTCCACCACTTCACTGACGAAGCTGGGGTCCAGAGTCTCCGTTATTGGTGACGCCCCTCCTTTTAGCTTGTTTAGAACGAGTCTATAGGGGCGCCCCCACGGATCCTCATCCAGCGTAGAGAGCAACTCCTCCCATGCCTTGGACTTGGCCTCTTTTATGGCAATGCGTAGGGCGTCTCTTGCTTCTTTGTAGACGCCCCACGCCTTTTCGTACTCGGCTGCTTCAGTTTGGGCAAGCCTTCTCTTGCGGTATACCCTTTTTCTGGCATGGTCAGAAACTCTCCTCAACTCTGCTATGGCCTCTGACCACCAATATGACTTTCTTTAGGGACGGTGTCTGACTTTGGGCATGGCCGCATCAGACGCCTTAACTAACGCCCCATGCAGCCACTCCCTTACCGTGGTCAGACTCCCGTCCCCCTTTTCTCGCGCTATTAGTGCGGCATTTATTGCCGCACTGAATTCCTCCTCATTCAACTTTCTGAGGGCCCATCGGTTGGCGCTGGCTTCTTTGACCCGGCGGCGTTCCACAACCTCCTTTGGAGTGGTGGTGACGGAGAACATAATGTATCTATGATCACTTAATGTTTCTATCTCCGTCACCTCCCTCCATCCTTTTAGTATCCTCACAGCGGGGCGGGTTGCCCATGTCAGGTCTATGATAGACCCGCCCCGCTGTCTATAGAGCGTCTCTGTGCCCCCCCTATTAATTAGGAGAAGACCGCAGTCCGCTGCTCAGTCCACAACTCTGTTCCCCCGCCCATTAGTGACCGGGGAACCCCATACGCTATTCTTGGCATTGAAATCCCCAGCCACCAACACTGGGCGGAAATGCTGCTTGTTTATTTGCCGCGCCAGGATGTTCAACCTCCGCCCGAACTCTCTGTCACCTAGGCTAGGCGGAAGATAAACACCCATCACCACGATGGGCCCCCACAAAGCTACGACGAACCCCCTCCCCGCTTCTAATAGTTGCAGAGGGGGTGACATCGCCGTGTGTCTTCTAACGATTGCGGCCGAGCCGTCTATGCTGCCGATCCAGTTCGAGCTGCTTGGAACTCTGTACGGCTCGGCCACAATTCCTAAGCCGCAGTCCCTCTCCTCCATTGTTTGATCAAAGAGGGACTGCGCTCCCCTCGCGTGGTTAAGGTTGGCCTGAATTATCTCACAGGTTATCTTTTTCTTGAACCTTGCACTCCAAGCCCGACACCTCCATGGTGTCGGGGTCTACGTCTATCAAATTTAGTTGATTACGCTGCCTCTTTAGTGCTCCCTCTGGGAGCCTTTCCTCCTCTCTCTTTTTCCCCGTTGTTCGCAGGGGTCTCTGCTCTTTCGGGGCCTCCCCTGTGTCATTAAAGTCAATGAGGGGGGGGGGCCTCTACCGGCAGTCTAGGCTCCGTACTCTGTTCAGCGGGCCGTTTCCTCGTTAACAAAGGGCGGTCCGTCACTTTGTGTAGTGGGACACCTTTGGTTCCCTTTTGCACCGGTGTGCACGCCCTGCTGCCCGTTCTATGTTTGGCAGGCAGCCCCTTATCCGCGCACACCGGGCAGTTAACTTCGACCGTACAATGCCGAGCCGGGTGTCCCTCCTTCCCGCAGCGGTAACACTTACCGCTGCGGTCTACGGTATTGGGACATCTCGCCCTCACGTGTCCCCCTTCCAGACTTTTGTAGCACTGGAGGGGTCGCGTCTGTAATATTTCCACTCGTGTCACCGCCCATCCTATTTTTATTTGGGCCGTCTTTATAATTGTGTTCGCTGCCTTGAGCGGGCAGCGGGTCCACACCATACCAACTCCAGCTGGGGTTTTACGAATCTCCCCCAGGTGGACTTTCTCCTCATAACAGTCACCAGCGGTGGCTATGGCTTTCACTACTTCGGGGGCTCTTATCGACTCATTGAGCCCCCGGAGTCGTATTTTCGTCATTTTGGTAGGGCGCTGTACTTTAACGCCCTCTTTGCCTTTAAAGGCCTCTCTTAATCTGAGAGCGAACTTATCGGCTCTCTCTTGTTTATTGACCCCCGGGATTTCAAAGACGTAGGAGCCAGTGACTTCCCTTCTTATTTTAGCCCCTTCTAAGTTTATTCCCTTCTTCTCCATCTTCTGACGTGCCTTCCTGAGGTTCTTTTCATAAGTCCCGGGAGGACACGTCACCGTTACCGCTGCCGTTCGCGGCTCTCTCTTCTTTCCAGCCGATCTTGCCGGTTTGGCTGGTTTGGATTGGGGAGAGGATATAGGTTTCTCTATTGTAGATTTCTCTGCCTCCTTTTTAGCTTCTGCAATCATGGCCCTCTTGGCTTTTCTACTGATAGCCCACGTTTCCCCTTCCGCTTTTCCTTGAGGTTCCTCTTTGGGTCTGAGGTACTCCCTCTTTCTTATTTTGTGGGGTAGACACACCTCCATTTCCTTTGCTCTCAGCCCTGGGCATAGGGAGCCTCATCGTGGCTGGCCGGGCCTTTGGGTTTAGTGTCGTCGTCGGCACTATCTTAATTTTCTGATTCAATACCTCCATCTTTTTGACAACTGGTTTAGGTGTTGCTACCCCACCCTCAGAGGCTCTGCAGGGGGGTCATGTACCCCCCTTTTTTTGTGACGCTGGGGAAACCTCATGGTACCACACACCCCCGGGTAGGGGTGCGGGTTATGTGGGACTCCTTGTTCCCCTTGATCGAGCCACGAATAGTTCGACCAGGGGGCCCAAGACCTACTTCACTAAAACCCCAGCGGGTGTTCTTCCCAGGCGTTGGATAGGGGGCGGTTGCGGCGCAGGGCGAACACCGGCCCCACGCCGCGCCCTCCCAAAGAGTTTGGGGGGCGGGGCCATGGCTCGAGAACTCCCGCTCGAGCCATTGCCCCCCGCCCCCCTGCTGGACGCATCCCCCGGACCCCCAAGAGGGTGATCCGGTTCGGCGTTTCACCAGGGGAGCCCTCGCTTCCTCAGAAGGAGAGAAACCCCCTCCGTGGACGGCGTTGCCCTCCCACCGGTGCCTTATGGCTCCCGGTGAGAGGGCCCCGCGCGTCACGTCTCCGTCATTGAGGGGGGCCCAGGCGCCCCAGGCGGATAGGCATCGCCCGCCCGCCAAGGACGCGTGGCTCCCCCTCGGTCCCCTTAATTACGGCTCCCTCCGCTCCCATGGGAGTTAGGATTCGGCCGCAATCAGAAGGAATTCCCGTTCGGGGGCGCGGCCGCGCCCCCGATTCTCGAGAGGTCTTTGGGGGGGGAGACCAGAGACTTAGTCGTCCCCCCCCCCGGCAACCTCATCCCGCGTCATGTGACGCGGGTGTGATTATGGCGGACCCTCCCCGCCCCCCGCCACCACGGGTGAGAACTCTCTCCAATGGCGGGGAAAGAGAGGGCCCGCCCCCTCCTCCGCGGCTATTTCTTGTGCCGCCGGGGGCGAGCCCCCCCCCGATTTCCGCCACCACAGACGAGCGAGCTCGCCGATGGCGGGAAAAGGGGGGGCCCTCCCCCGTTCCTACTGCCTCTACCTCTACCGGGGGCGCCCCCCCCCGATTCCCGCCACCACAAGCGAGTAAACTCGCCGGCGGCGGGAAAGGGGGGGCCCGCCCCCATCCTCTGGGTCGTCTCCTCCTCCGTCCTCCTCTTCCGAGGGCTGGGAGCCACCCCTTCCAGCCCTCTCCCTCTCTCTCTCTGCCTCCTCCTGCGAGAGCACTCTCTGGCAGAAGGAGGAGAACGCCTTCCAGACATTTTCTCTCGCTATCATCTCCTTGACTATCGATGGTAGCGAGAGATCCCCTCCCCCGATTGTCGCCTCCAATTCCCTCCTCTCTTCTGACCAAGCCACACTCTTGGAGTGTGTGGCCGGCCGTGTCTCGCCTATTGCCGCAGTGGTGGCAACGTGTCGTGCGCTCCTTCTTAATGCGACACAGGTACTCCCCGAAACAGCCGTGTCCGGTGAGCATCTGTGTCATCCGGTATGATACACCCCCCTTGGCCCTGCCTAGCCATTGTTCCAGGCAGGGCCGGATGGCCCCGACGGTCCATTGTCCCGGCAGCCGTGGATCGTAGGCTGCCGGACCAACTCTCGATCAGTTTCCGTCGGGTCTGGGCCCTCAAAACACGCCGGACACTATCCGTGACGGCCGTTCCCTGCCTTTGTAGCCCGCGTGTACGCCTATAAACCTCGGCGTACATGCGGGCCAGCAACTCAATAGGGGGTACTCCTGCGAGCACTCCCACGGCCGTCCAGCTAACGATACGGAACCCCCGGCATATGCGGTTGGCCACCCGCCTTTGCAGTTGATGCAGGGCATCTCTCAGTTTGCGGGTGGCTTCTACCTTTTCCGCCCACACGGGGGCTCCGTACATGATCATAGAGTGAATAGTTCCGGCGTAAAGTCGGCGAACCCTTCCGTCCGGTCCCCCGAGGTTCGGCAGCAGTCGGCATAACGCCATTGCTGCCTTATTTACCCTTGGGGTCAGTTGGCGGAAGTGCTCGCCAAAGGCCCATCTGCCATCCAAGTGGAGATCCAGATATTTAATCTGGGTCCCCACCCCTATGGGGGTGTTCCCAACTAATATTTGGGCTTTGGGTGGCGCCCCATGAGAGCCGTCATGGAAGAAGACGGCCTCTGTCTTTTGGGGCGCCACCTTCAGCCGAATTCCTTCAATTGTGCGCACGACACGTGCCACCGCAATATTGGCACGCGCTGTCGCTTCCTCCCAGGAGTCTCCCCCGGCCATGACTAATGTGTCATCCGCATAGCAGATCCTCAGGGTCACGTCATAGGCGAGGTTCCACATGAGGGGGCCCAAGACTGACCCCTGTGGAACCCCGCACAAAACCTCGACCCTGCGCTCCTCGGCGTTCTGGTCTATGTAGACCAGACTTCTGTCCCGAAAATAGTCCGAGATTATTGACACCAGGTAGGGGGGAACCCTGTGGTATCTCAGGGCATCCCCCACCCGGTGCCATGGCAGGGTGTTGAAGGCATTTTTGATGTCTAATGAGACCGCCAACAACACCCCGCCTTCCCTCACGACGGCCTCCGAGACCGAGCGGACACGCAAGATTGCGTCAACGGTTGACCGCCCGGCTCGAAAGCCATACTGTTTCTCGTCTAAGTTCGGACCATTTTGGGACAGGTGATGGACGAGGCGGGCAGCGATGATTCTTTCCAGAATCTTTCCCGCCTCGTCCAACAGACATATCGGTCTGTACGCCGAGGGCGAATCCCTAGGTTTGCCTTCCTTAGGGATTAGGACTATTGACGCCCTTTTCCACTCCTGGGGGAAGGAGCCCTCCTTGAGGCACCCGTTATACAGGTGCCTCATGGGCTCGACCAGCTCTTTAAAGGCGAGGGCCCAGATTCTTCCGTGGATGCCGTCTGGTCCAGGGGCTTTCCCCTTCTTAATTCTCCTGACGGCATCCCGGATTTCTCCTCCCGTGACCCCCATCTCTGCTTTGTCCCAGTCCTGCTCCCCTGCCCGTATCGGGTTTTGTACACCCGCCGTTCGGGGGAACAGGACCCCTATTATATTTTCAACGAGATGGGGGTCCAATGACTCCGTTAGAGGTGCCGCCCCTCCTTTCAGTTTGTTTAAAACTATTTTGTAGGGGCGGCCCCACGGGTCCTCATCGAGGGAGGAGATTAGATCTTTCCAGGCCCTCGCCTTTGCCTGTCGGATGGAGGCGCGCAGGTCGCTCCTTCTGCTCCTGTATGCGTCCCACGCGTCCTCCAGTCCTTCAGGGTCCGACAGCGCGTACTTTGCCCTCCTCTTCACATTTTTCCTTGCGTGGTCGGAGGACCGCCTCAGCTCGGCAATGTCCTCCGACCACCAATATGCTTGTTTCGGGGATCGGGTTTTAACCTTGGGCATGGCTACGTCGCATGCTTGGATTATGACATTCGTTAGCCATGCCCTGTGTTCTTCTAGGTCCCCGGTCCCCTCTTTCCTCGCTATCATGGCGGCGTTTATCGCCGCCATAAACATGTCCTCATCTAACTTCCTGAGGGCCCACTTCCTGGAGCTCGCCTCTCTTATTTGGCGGCGCTCTGCGACCTCTTTGGTGGTCATGGCGACGGAGATCTCTATGTATCTGTGATCAGATAATGTTTCGATCTCCGTCGCCACTCTCCACCCCTGTGCCATCTTTGCCGCAGGGCGGGTCATCCACGTAAGGTCCACGATCGACCCGCCCTGTCGGCGCACACACGTCCTCTCGCTCCCCTCATTGAGGAGCACAAGGTCGCATTGCGTCGCCCATTCCTCCACCTCACCACCCCGCCAGTCGGTGCGCGGGGAACCCCACGCCGTTGACTTGGCGTTAAAGTCCCCCGCGACCATTATTGGTTTGGGGTGATGTTTGGCGATCTCTTGCTCCAGGATTCTTAATCTCCCGCCGAAATCGTCATTTTTCAAGCTCGGCGGGAGATATACTCCTATCACAATGATGGGCCCCCAGGAAGCCACCACAAATCCTTCCCCCGCTCCCATAAAGTTTAGGGGAGGGGAGTCGGGCGCGTTCCTTCTCACTATCGCCGCGGTGCCCTCGGTACTTTGTACCCAGTTGGGTCTGTTCGGTACCTTGTAGGGCTCCGCGACAATACCGAGGCCGCAGGATCTTTCCGCCATAGTGTGGACGAAGAGATCCTGGGCACCCCTCGCGTGATTGGTGTTGGCCTGAAGTATTTTACTGGCCAACATCAATCATCAGGGTAGTTTTTCCCTCTGACGCCGTTTTCATGGCGTTGAAATTTTCCTCTCCCAGATTTTCTTTGAGGCGCTGTCTTTTCCCAGCGCCTTGCTTTCCGGAGAGGGTCTCCTCCTCCGTCATCTTTCTTCCTCCCTTAATTCTTGGAGGCCTCTGGTCCTTCGGTCTCTCCCGGGTGTTTTGATGGGAGACGCTGTGTAGAGGTTCCACCTTCATTCGTGCAGCCCCGGTTTCTTTGGGGGTTCCCACCATCTTGGTTAGTGGGATACCCCTTCTTCCTTTCTGTACCGGTGTGCAGGACTTTCCCCCCGTTCTATGATTGGCAGGGAGGTTTTTGTCCTTGCACACCGCGCAGTGTACCGGGGCTTCACATACACTGGCTCTGTGCCCTTCTTCTCCGCAACGGTAGCATCTACCGCTGCGGTCTGCCTTGTTCGGGCATCTGGCCCTTACATGGCCTCCCTCCAGGCATTTATAGCACTGGAGGGAGCGACTGTTCAGCAGCTCGACTCTCACCATTGCCCAGCCTATCTTGACCTGGGTTTTCCTCGCAATGGTGTTTGCCGCCCTTGGAGGGTACCGGGCCCACACCATTTTAGTACCGTTGGGTGCTCTCTTTATTTCCCCCACGGATACTTCCTCCTCTTGGCAGTTTCCGTCTCTAGAGATTGCCTCTCTGATCTCTGAGGGGGTAACTGCCTCGTCTAGTCCCCTCATTCTTATCTC